AAAACAAATTTTGATTATTTTAACCATAAAAAAATACACAGTCAGGTATTTTATGGCAAATTATGCATTTGTATTCATTGTTGAGAACTTTTTTGGAAAAGGTTTCCATAAAACTATTTGTATAGTATGTTAGTTTTGACCAGTGGTTGATGTACGAAAAAAATAACTATTAAACATAGTAAAGGAGATGCTACATATTCAGTCAAACTAGTGCATTTTTACTTTTTTTATTTTATATTTTCCTCTTTATTTTCCTTCTTTTCATTCATTAGCTTTTATTTCCAGTTTTATTTTCAATTTTGTAATTTTTTTATAATATTCTATTTACTTGTATTTTTACTTTTCTACTTGAATTCATTTTTGAAATTATCTTTTATTATTATTTTATTTAAAAACTCAAGTTTAGATATAAAAAATTGGGTTAGTGTTTCATCTATGGGTGATGCTCCTTTTTAAATAGGGTCATAAATAATGTGGACAATAAATAGTTTCTCTTCACGAGCGTCACAATTTTGGAATCCAATTGCAGGTCGGATTAGCTGGTTTGGCAGTTGATGATCGGTGCCTTAAATAATCAATATTTTATGTAGATTTTATATTAAATATAAAAATATTTTTTTTAATAATGCTTAAATGCCCTGCATCAAAGCATTTGTTATTTCTACATAAACATAAGGGTGAACATTTTGACATGGAGCTCATCTGATTTTTGCGTCACATTTATCTGTACTCTGTATCCTATTGACAGATGCCCGGAAATCAGAAGTCACCCAGCTGCATCACCTTGAATTTATTAACCAACACCTTAACGATATTGTTGCCATAGAATGCTTGTCTTTATAGGACAAACACAGATGACCTCTTGGCCAAAAAGTGTTTTTATTCCTCGTTCTCTGATGGCACCATGAGGCAGGATGGAACAGCTGGAGAAAAGTGTCAGGAGTGATCTGTGACAGAAGAGTGTCGGCTAAGGTGAAGGGAAAGGTTTACGGGACGGTGGTGAGCCCAGCCATGATGTATGGTTTAA